TAATCTGTGGCAGAGGTTGTCCGAATGATGGCCGCACTCGCAGCCGACTGGAACTTCATATCCTGCTGCTTTGGTTCTCTCCATGGTCCAGATACTTTGGGTGAGGAAGGCGAGTAAGGTGCCTTTCTGATGTCCAGGAAGGTCTGACGAGAGAGCCATCCGAGCAGCAGTAACGTGTAAGTGAGCGCCCGCGTGGCCGAGGTTGACGGCCGCCTTGGAGGCGAGCTGGCCGTGCCAGTCGTGCTCCATGAGCTTTTGGAGGAAGGCGGGGGGATGTCCTGGGAGCGGGTACTCAAGACCTGAGGCAGTCACAAAGGTAAACGGCCCCTGGAACTTCCAACCAATACGCTTCAGCGACAGCACCGCCGCACTGATGGGGGCCCCTGGAAGAGCCCCACGATTTAGAAACCCTCGGGAGGATGTTTTCAGCCCAAGCCCGCAGCTGTTGGAGACTAGCCACGGCCAAGTGCGGATGGGTGTTCGCATCCCAAACTAAACGATGCCACATAAGGGCGGGACCGAGGGCCGCTTTCCACAAAGGGGTCCTGGAGGATGAGCAACGCCAAGCTGCGGCTGCGGGTCGAGCATCTCGGGCCCGCGGCAGCCAGAAACTGCGACCTAGCAGATTCAAGTTGAGTGCCGTTGATGCCAGTGACCTCAACTCCAAAAGTGGTGGCCGCTTCCAGGCCAGTCTTATACAGTTTGTGAGTGGTTACCCCCCAGCACGTTTTAGCATGCGGACCCTGTTAAGTCTTTTACGCATCTTATCAAGACGCCCCGTAAGTTTTCGAAGCTTTCTCCATCTTCTCTGGGGGCGGCCAGCCCCAGTTTCAACGCCCAGGTTGGATCCCGAACGATCAGGGTTCGGGCCTGCCAGAGGCCCTAGCTTAGTCCTGAGCTGGTCCTGCAAAGCTTGGTGAGACGCTAGCACCTGGGTCTTCTTGCTGGCAATCTGGCTCTTAAACTCGTGGATGGTGCAATCCGCCATCGATCTTGCGGCTATGTTCAACTGGCTGACGATGAGGCTGAAACTGCGGCCGTGGCACTGGAGCAGCAAATCATCAATGAACATCGCGAGTCTAATGTGACTATGGGCCTGTGTCCATATGTCCAAGGGGGCGAGCGCATACATCTGCACAAGGTACGTGGCCCAACTGCAGCCAGCAGCAATGCCCCTCCACGGTTTGCCGACGCTGACCGCGCAATCTTTCAAGGAAACGGTACGTTCGCTGACATATTGCGATGGAGTGCTGCGAAGTAAACAACATGGAAAACCTGACTCAACAGCACGATGCGCTAGACAAGGCCGATCAACATGTTCGTAATAGTTTGATAGATCGTAAAAGGACCTGGGCGCTGTATTGTTGATATTTGGCTGAGCTGTTGAACTCGCATTCCAAGGATTGTTTATAGACCAATTCAACAATAGAGTGGCCAGCCTGGTGTGCAAGATCAGGCCGACGATGGTGGGCTTCCCACTCTCTGACCGCTGACCTCCTAAGGCGGGCCCAGACACGATAGAGCGCTGGTAGCATGCCAATGGACCTGAACGAGGGCTGACTGGCTGGAGTATCATGTTGTTTCTGTTTCATCATAAGCGTAGAGACAATCCCCTGGAGCTGAGAGTCGGCATGTGATCAACCTTCTCGATCAGAGAGATCAATTGGCAGACGATCCCCGCCTGCTCATTATTCAACATACTGAAGTGCTGCGGATGAAAACCGTCCCAGGTCGAAGCTGTGGCGCGAGGAAAGCTACGCGCAACTTGCCGAAGCCTCTTGGGGGTAATCGGGCCCAGGGCGACACGATCATCGGTATCGGGAACGAGCTGAGGTGGGGTCTCGGGGGAAACTTTCCATGTCTTAGCTAGACGATCAGCTTCGACCTGCAATATATGCTGGGGCCTGCCGGCGCACTGAGACTGGCATTGCACAGACGACGGGCGCCAGGCCTCCAGCCGTTTAGACCATCTGTGAGCCCATCCCATTCCCCTTTTCATGTTAGACTGGACCCATTCCCTCCAAGCCCTCCCATCTGCGGCATTATCCGCCGCCTGCTCCTGGTGCAGGAGCTTGGTGATCTGCTCTAGCAGCTCGTCTAGAACTTGCAGCGCCAACGTCTGGTCTAGAACGACAGCCTGAAAAAAGTAAGAAGCAAACCTGCGGCCACTCGAATATCCTGAAGCCCCTCCTTGAGGGACACCGCGGTGGAGAACAACTCGGGGCAATCCTCCAGGCTGTCCAGGGCGCCTTGAAACTCAAGCAAATTCCAGTCCTGAATACAGCGTCTAAAATCCTGAACTCGGTTACACAACCATCTTAACGGGCCCGTATAGGCCACCCATTTGGCTCTGCTGCGAGCCGCTTTGGCCCCCGCGGGGACCATGAGAACCTGAGGGGGGTGAGCCCTGGGGAACTTACTGGGTTTGATAGGCGCGTTGGTTCTCCCACTGACTGCAGCTTCCAAGTCCTGGGCCAGGGTGAAGTACACGTGGTCCAGGATCGACGTCGACTGTTGATCGGTGAGAGGCCGTTGAGCATCATCGATCAATTGCGAGGCATAATCCACGATCGCGGCAGTCTGGTGCCAACTCACTTCTGGTAACTGCGGGCCCACTGGAATGTGAGTGGGCAGCTTCTGGGGCCTATGCAGCGAGGGGATATTAAAGTTATCCTGGGCAGCAATATCCAACAGCACGGGCCTATGAGGGGAGAGAGGATAGGAGGCCAGGGTGCGGGGGTTCTGGAGCCAAGGCGTGAGGCCTTGGCTGGAGACAAAATAGTCGAGGGTCGACTTGGTCTTCTTGGTTCTGTAGGTGGCTGTCGGGGGCGCAAGCACAGCCATGGTGGACCTGGACAAAAACTCGGCCTGGGCCAACCTGGTGGGGGCCAAATTGAAATCCCCCGCGACCAAAACTGGGTGCGCTAAGTCATCTTGAAGTTGGCCTATGGTGGCCAAGAGATTGAAATTGGTCTCCGAGAGACCTGCAGCAGCTTGGAGATACGTAGAACACAAAGCGAATGTTGGGATCCCTGGGAGCTCCAGGATCACCCCAGACAAACGAGCGGGTTCACACCCCGAGGGAATCCGCAGAGGTTTGACCCCCAGGTCCAGACCATCCCGAATCAAAATCGCGACGCCCGAAATCAGCTCATTGTTGGGGTTCACTGCAGCAGAAGTTATGTAGGCCAGCCACCCTTGAGACGCGCACCATTGTATCTGGCGTACAATGCTATCGCCTTCGGCTAACTTACACTCCTGGGCACAAGCGATGGTGACTGCGCTGGCTTGCGGTGGTTGCAAAAACTTGCGAACGGCAGGCCAGCGCGATCCGTTGATGGTGGCTAGTTTATAATTCTGGTTACCCTGGCGACGGGCCATCACTTGCGACCGCGGCGGCCGCTGCAGCCGCCCTAGCCTTCTTGGTCTCGGGGCCGCCGTCGCCCTGGATCTTGGCCATGCCGTTGGCGACCTGCTCCAGAGCCGCAGCAGCACGAACACGGCCTTGCGTCTCGTCCATCGGGGTCGCTTCGATGGCGTCGGCGAGCGGGGCCTCCTCCAGCTCCTTGTCATCCACCGGCGTCGGGACATGCTGGCCTGGAATGGGCTGGGGCGCTTCTGGCTCATCTGCTCGTTCGCCAACTGCGGGGAAGCCGTCAGGCTCCTGTGCTGGCTGAGACCCCTTGCCCTGGCCAGCGCCCTTCGCCTGGGTCTCCACAGACATGGTGTGCTGGTGCTGCATGTTGTCAAACAGCTGCGCCAGCTCCGATACTTTAGCTCGTAGTTCTGTTGGGGCCTCACCACCCTCGGGCATGCGCGCTGCCAGCATGCCTTGGAGAGTGGTGAGCAAATCCTCATCCTTGGATGCCTCGTACGCTGCTGCCTGGGTGGCCAGGTTGAGCTGAGACTCCAGGGGCTGCACTTCTTTGGTGTTGATCTCGATCTCCTCGACCAGCTTGCCGTGGTCTTCGCTGGCCTCGACGATGGTGTGCACAAGATCCGTCGCTTCGTTCTTCTGGGCCATGAGCTTCTGGCGCGCGACCTGCAACTGATCTGACAGTGACTGCGCCTGCTGCTCCAGGCTCTTGGCGGACAGGGCCTGCGCCTTGGCAAATTTGAGCTTGCCCAGCGCCGCCTTGTGTTCCTCTCCGTCTGGTTTCCACTTCTTCCAGAAAGTGACCTGCGCTTGGGCCAGGGCCACTGGATCTTCACTGTGGGTGTCATCATCCGCGAAGGTGACCTTGCGACCTCCTCCGCGGCCCAGGCCAGGGGGGGGGCTCTGGCCCGCGGGAGTTGTGCCTCCAGCGGCCTGGCTTGGTCGGTGGCTCATGGACGTCAGGCCGATCATCCTGAGCTCCTCCACCTCCCCCTGCTGGGCGATCTGCATGCGAAACTGACTCCGGGCGCTGCTTGAAGCGACTGCCACACTGGATGCAATGGCGAGCATTAGCAGAGCACCAAGACCACCCTTTACAGCCTCGCTTCGAGCAGACGACATACTTCCTCTGGGCCGACGACATCTCCTGTCTCCCCTGTGCAGCAGCACACGCAGGAAATGGGCCCAGCAGGTGGCACTAGTGCGGGACGTGGTTGTGCCGCTGCCTGGGGCTGACCAGGCTGGCACTGGGAAAACGCAGGCTTGGGCCCGAACGCCCAGGGCCTTCCCTGGATGGCAGTGCTTGAGCCAAAATGGCTACGGAGGAGGAGGAGGAGAAGGAGGAGGAGAGGGAGGAGGAGGAGAAGGAGGAGTGCAAGGCTTCTGTTTTTCGTGCTGGTCAGTTCTCCGGGCGGTCCCGAGGCCTGGCGAGAGGGCCTCCGGAGGCGGACCGCGGGCCAAGCTTAGGGGAGCGAAGCATGACATAAACGTCATAATTCGGAGGTCCGCGCGGATGTCTTGGATCGGCGCTGGACCCGCCGCCCTGGCGCGCGGGGCGCGGCAGGGGCGGCGCCGGAGGCCCCGCCAGGGGGGTCCAGCGCGGATCCGGGAAATCCGCGCGGACCTCCGAGTTTTTCTGCTCATGTCATTGTTCGTTCCCTTTGTGCAATGCAGGAAGGCACACCCCAAAAAGGGGCTTCCGTGTTCCATCGTTCCCAGGGCGGCCCCGAGGCCTGGCAAGAGGGCCTGAGGGGGCCGGCCGCAGCGAGCGGACGTGCCTGCCGTCCTGGCCTCTCCGTGGCTCGGAGGGGGGCGGCGTGAGATCGCAGCCCCTCCCTGGGCGTCGCTCGGACGTGTGCTTTTTGTTGCCTCGGCGAGGGCCCTCGAGGAGCATCCATCGCGCAGCGAAAGACGACGCGCGCGCGCAGGAGGCCGAGACATGCCAGGGGGGAGGGGCGACCCCGGGCGACGGGTGGGGCGCTGCAGGTCAAGACCGTGAAGTTCAAGGAGGGGCCCTCCGTCGAGGAGCTCGTCTGCCAGCTCTCGCGCGTGGCCCCGGCGTTGGAGGCCCTGGTGCTCGCGGGCCGCAGCTTCGACCTCGTGCCCGTGTCGGGCTCCAGGCCGGGCCGCGCCGCCGGGGGAGACAGCATGGCTCAGGGGGAGGGGGGGGAGGAGGAGGAGGAGGAGGAGGAGGAGGAGGAGGAGTAGGAGGGGATGAGAGAGGAGGCGGAGGAGGGAGAGGAGAGAGGAGAGAGGAGATAGGAGGAAAGAGGAGGAGGAGGAGGAGCAGGAGCAGGAGAGGAGAATGAGGCCTGGGAAGGAGAAGGAGGAGGAAGGATGAGGAGGAAGGAGGCCTGAGGAGGAGGAGGAGGGAGGAGGAGGAGAGGAGGAGGAGGATGAGGAGGAGGCAAGGGAGGAGGTAGAGGAAGGCAATGGGGGAAGCATGGGCCACCAAAACACATACGCGTCATCGACAACAAACGGGACTAGAGGCTTTTCCATCGTTTTCCCCGGCTTTTCGAGGACCACCCCCTCGGGTCATAGAACAATTCTTCCTCTCTCCTCCTCCTCACTCCCCTCCTACTCCTCCTCTTCCTACCTCCTCCTCCCTCCCACGTCTTCTTCCCTCCTCCTACTCCTCCTCCCTCTTCCTCCTCCTCCTCCTCCTCCTCCTCCTCCACGACGGAAGGTTTCTCGCTATTTTCGGCCTCTGGAGGCCCTCGCCGGGCCTCGGGGCCGTCAAGAAGCGACTCGGGATGGAAGACTGGTCCCGGGGAAGTGTTTGAGAGTCTCGTCGAAACGAGGAGGAGGAGGAGGAGGAGGAGAGGGGAGAAGGCAGGGGGAGAGAAGCATGAGGAGGAGGAGGAGAGGAGGAGGAGGAGGAGGAACGGCAGGAGGAGGAGAGGAGAGGCGAAGGATAGAGGTAGAGGAGGAGGAGGGGAGAGGAGCAGGAGGAGGACGAGGAGGAGGAGGAGGAGGGGGTGGGGGAAGCAGGGACCACCGAAGGCATCTGGCGTCTGGACAAACATCGGGACTGAGACTTTTCCATCGTTTTCGGCTTTTCGATGACCCCCTCGGGTCATGAAACAAGTCCTCTTCCTCTTCCTCCTCCTCCTCCTCCTCCTCCTCCTCTCCTCCTCCTCCTCCTCCTCTTCCTCGTCCTCCTCCACGACGGAAGGTTTCCCGCTATTTTTGAACTCTGGAGGCCCTGGCCGGGCCTCGGGGCTGTCAAGAAGCGACTCGGGATGGGAGACTGGTCCCGGGGAAATGGTCGACAGGAGGAGGAGGAGGAGGAGGAGGAGGAGGAGGAAGAGGAGGAGGAGGAGGGGGAGGAGGAGCATGAGGAGGAGGAGGAGGAGGAGGAGGAGGAGGAGGGAGGAAGGATGAGTGGAGGAGAGGAGGAGGAGGAGAAGAAGGGGGTGGGGGAAGCAGGGGCCACCCAAGACATCTGGCGTCTCGGCAAAAACCGGGATTGGGGCTCTTTCATCGTTTTCGGCCTCTCGGGGACCCCCTCGGATCATCAAACAATCACGACGGAAGGTTTATCGCTATTTTCGGCCTCTGGAGGCCCTCGCTGGGCCTCGGGGCCGTCAAAAAGCGACTCGGGATGGAAGACCGGTCCCGAGTCCCGTGGAAGTGGTCGAGAGGTTGGTGGCCCGTGTCTCGAAAAGTCGAGTCTCAAGTCGGGCGTGTCCCTGTAGAGGAGGACATGGTCAGAAAAGAGTCCGGGGAGAGTTTCATGATCACTTTTTGGATATTTCTGAGGGGGATGGGAGAGATCTTCATCATAGCAAATGGAAGAAACTTTTGTCACGGCTGTGTCGGGCGTGTCCCTTTAGAGGAGGGAGTGGTCAGAAGATTAAAGTCTGGGGAGAATCTTACGACTACTTTTTGGATATTCCTGGACTGTGCTCAATGTTTCGTCCAAAATCCCAACTCCGCTGCGCCCCGCCAGCCGTCGCGGCGGCCCTCGGCCGCCTCGTCGGCGGCCCTGCCTGCGGCCCCTCGGAGGCCCCGCGGCGGCGCCCTCGGAGGCTCGTCCTGCGGCCCCGGCGGCCCCTCGGGGGCCACCTCGGTGGCCCCATCGGAGGCCTGCCTCGGAGGCCCGCGGGCCCTCTGCAGCCAAAGGCGGCCGCTTGAGGTGGATGTCCGATGCAGTTTTAAGTGGGAAAAAAAGCCAGAGTAGGGCGGATCTGGAGTCTGGGGAGAGTTTCAGGACTACGTTTTTTTTTGTTTTATATTTCTGGACTCTGTGCAGCTTTTCGTCCAAAGTAATCCGCTTGTAGGGGGGGGCACGTCCGACCTAAGGCGGGGCCTGCGGGGCCTTCTGCGGGAGCTCGACCGCGGGGTGCCCCGGCCTCCGCTGCCCGAGGGCGGCGAGGCCGCGTGCCTGGTCTCTCTTGGTCGTGCCCCAGCGGGCACCTGGAAGAGAAGATGGCTGCTTGGATGTGCCTCGCCTTTTTTCTCGCCCAGTCCCACAGGTCGATCCGCTTGTAGGGCCAGAGTAGGGCGGATCTGGAGTCTGGGGAGGGTTTTAGGACTACGTTTTTTTTTTTTTAAAATATTTCTGGACTCTGTGCAGTTGTTCGTCCAAAGTAATCCGCTTGTAGGGGGGGCACGCCCGACCCAAGTCGAGGCTCCGGCCGTCCGAGACCGCCACGGCGGGCGTGCCGCCGCCCCATTGGCTGCGGCCTCGCCCGCTCGGGCTCCTCGGCGGCGGTGGCCCCCCGCCGCTCCTCCGAGCGGCGGGGCTGGAGTTCAGTCGAGGCTGTCCCCCTACATTGGGGATTTTCGACGAGAAGCACAAATCCCCCAAGAATAGTCCAAAGATAGTCCAAAGATAGTCCGGGGACTGTTTTTGGAGTATGTTTTGCCTTTTTGGCGTATTTTTAGGGTACTTTTCTTATTTTCCGTCGAAAATCCCCCTGTAGGGGGACAGGCCCGACTTAAGGCTGGAGGCTCAGACCTCCGACGAGGCGACCCTGAGATCCCCCGAGGTCCAACGCACTGACAAAAGTCAAGGCGGACGTTTTCCGCCGTTTTCGGCCTCTATAGGGGCTCTCGCCGGGCGTCGGGGCCGTCCAAAAGACGACTCGGGACGACGAGCCGGTCCTGGGGAATGGGTCGAGCTTTCCGGGGGCTCCGCATTGAACAAAAATCGCGACGTCGGATCGCAGGGTCCGACGCTCCAGGAACACTGGAGCGGCAGGATTTTGGCAGTTTCTGGCTTCCTGGGGGCCCTCTCGCCGGGGCTCGGGAGCGTCAAGAAACGGCTCAGGACGAAAAACCCGTCCTGGGGAAGTGGTCCGGACCTCCTGGGTCCACGCACCCAACAAATTGGAGCAGCCGGATGTCTTCGAGTGGGGGACTGGTCCTAAATTCTTCTCTTCCTCCTTCTCCTTCTCCTCCTCCTCCTCCTCCTCCTCCTCCTCCTCCTCCTCCTCCCTCCTCCTCCCTCCTCCTCCTCACCTACCATCTCCTCCTCCGCCTCCTCCCACTCACTCCTCCTCCGCTCTCCGCCTCTTCCCTCCTCGTTCTCCTCCGCCTCCTCCTCCTCCTCCTCCTCCTTTGCCTCCCTTCTCCTCCTCCTCCTCCTTCTCCTCCTCCTCCTCCTCCTCCTCTCACTCCTCCTTCTCCTCCTCCTCCGCCCACCTCCTCCTCCCTCTCCTCACTCCTCCTCTCTCCTCATCCTCCTCCCCCCTCCTCCTCCTGCCGCCTCCTCCTCCTCCTCCTCCTCCTCCCTCCTCCTCCTCCTCTATCGCCTCCTCGGTCCTCCTCCTCCTCCTCCTCCTACCCTCCGCCGCCTCCTCCTACCTCCTCCTCACTCTTCCTCCTCCTCCTCCTCCTCCTCCTCCTCCTCCTTCGCTCCTCCTCCTCCTCCTCCCCGGCTCCTCCGCCTCCTTCCCTCCTCCTCCTCCTCCTTCTCCTCCTGCTCCCTCCTCCGCCTTCTCCTCCTCCTTCTCCGCCTCCTCCTCCTCCTCCTTCTCCTCTTCCTCCTCCTCCTCCTGGGGGCCCTCGCCAGGGGCCACCGCTGGGCCCGGGCGCGCTCGCCCCTCGACGAGCTCGGGGCGACGCCGCTGCCCCAGCGGCTGCGGGCCGCGCGCGGGGCTTGGAGCGCCCGGCGGGGCGGCCGCTGCCGCCTGCCCCAGGCCCTCCTCTGCGGCCGGGGCGGGGCCAAGGCCAGGGGGCCCCCAATCTGCGAGCTCCCAGACCTCCTGGCGTCGGGACGAAAATCACGGCGGGAGGTTTTTCGGCTCTTTTCGGCCTTTGGGGCCCGCCACCGGGCCTCGGGAGCGTCAAGAAACGACTCAGGACAGAAAAACCGGTCCCGGGGAAGTGGTCCAAACCTCCTGGGTCCACGCACCCAAAAAATTGGAGCAGCCGGACGTCTTCGAGTGGGGGGCTGGTCCTAAATCCTCCTCCTCCTCCTCCTCCTCCTCCTCCTCCTCCTCCTCCTCCTCCTCCTCCTCCTCCCCTGGGAGCCCAGACCCCCTCGCGTTGCGAACAATGACGACGTGAGGTTTTCCTTATTCTCGGCCTCGGAGGGCACTTACCGGGCCCGGGACCGTCAAAGAAAACGACTCAGGAGGAAAAACGGGTCCTGGCGAAGGGATCCAGACCTCAGGGGGTCGACGTTGTGAGAAAAACACGACGCCGGGGTCTGGGAGCAGGGGAACGACTACGGGATTGGTTTACCCCGACGTGGATTTGTCCGTCGAAGGTACCAAGAAGACAAAGAGACCTCCCCAGACCCTCTCTAGGCCTCCTAGATGGGGTCGGAGCGGATGGGGTCGGATGATCGCGCCGCATCGCCGATGCATCGGCGATGCGGCTCGATGCGGAGCCCGATTTTCTCCACGCCGACGTCGCCGATGCGTCGCTGACGTCGGCGATGCATCGCCGATGCATTGGCGATGCATTGGCGATGCGGCGCGATCCTCCGACCCCATCTTCTCGGACCCCATCTAGGAGGCCTCTACCCTCTCGGGTCATGAAACAATCACGACCAAAGGCTTCTCGCTAGTTTCGGCCCCTGGAGCCAAGACGACACAGAGACCTCCCCAGACCCTCTCGGGCCATGAAGCCATCGCGACCGAAGGTCTCTCGCTATGTTCGGCCCCCCCCAGACATCCGACGAGATTTTCTCACAACGTCGACCCCCAGAGGTCTGGACCCTTTCCTGGGTCCGGTTCTTCATCCCGAGTCGTCTTGTGACGGCCCCGAGGCCCGATGAGGACCTGCAGAGGGCGAAAGTAGCGACGAACCTCCCGTCGTGATTTGCCCACGGCGCGAGGAGGTCGGGGCCTGGAGGCCCTCGCCGGGCCTCGGGGCCGCCAACACAACGACTCGGGATGCAAAGCGCAAAGTGCGGCCCCGGGGAGCGGGTGGAGGCGTGGAGACCGCTTGGGGGGTCGGCGCCACGACAGACTCATGACGTCGGGGGCCTGGGTCCCCTGAGGTCCTCCTCTTTCTCCTCCTCTTGCTCCTCCTCCTCTTCCTCCTCCTCTTCCTCCTCCTCCTCTCGTCCGCCTCTTCCTCCTCTTTCTCCTCCTCTTTCTCCTCCTCCTCCTCCTCTTCCTCCTCCTCCTCTCTGTACAACAAACGTGGGTCGTACTTGAGTCGAACGGAAGCCCCTTCCCCCTCCTCCTCCTCCTCCTCCTCCTCCTCCTCCGCCTCCTTTTTCTCTTTCTCCCCGGAGATCCGACGCTCCAAGAACATTGGAGCAGGCGGTTCTTGAAAGGTTTCGGCCTCCGGGCCGCCTCCGGGGGCCCTCGCCGGGCCGTGGGAGCGTCGAAACCCTAGCCTACAAGGGGCAGTGTCTGTCTTCTATGCGTTTTCTTGGAAAGGGTTGCTCAGCTTCTAAAAAAAGTGTCGTGCCTACTTCTTCGTGCCACTCACACTGTAAAACACAGGCGAAAAAAATAGAAATGGACACGAAGTGTAGGTTGCCAAAATTGGCACGAATCTATTGAAACATAGACACGAGATGGCATCAACTATAGACAAGAACGTCAATAATAGACACGAAAATAGACACGCGTACTAAGTAGACACGAATCTGGCACGAATAGACACGAATAGTCACGAACACATAGCCGGGCACGGGCTCGCGCAAAAAGACAACGAATGATAGACACGCTCGCGGGTGTGTCTGCATGTGTATATAAACCCACGTACGTGCTCGGAAACATACACGTCTTGTACACATGCACACCCAGGTGCGGGGGATCCTATGGTACGGGGTGGGTGGGGGAGGAGCGCCGAGGATTGCGAAGGAAAGGGGAGAGTTTGGAGGAGCGCCGCGGAGTGCGATGGAGTGCGGGGGGGCCCGGAGAAGTGAGAAAGAATGCCGAGGAGTGTGATGAAGATCAGGGGGAGAGGCGAGGAGCGCGATGGAGTGGAGGTGGCGTGGAGCGCCGTGGAGTGCGACTGGGTGGGCTGGAGTCTGGAGGAGTGCGGGGGTCGCCGAGGAGTGCGAGAGAGCGGGGAGAAGTCGGCAAGAGTAGGGAGGACCGTCGACGAGCGAGATGGAGCGAGGAGTCCTGAGCAGCAAGGGGAGCCGAGGAGTGGATTGGGAAGGAGTTCGCGGGAATGCCGAGGGCTACAACGGAGAGGGGGGAAGGAGTTCGCAGGAATGCCGAGGGGGAGTTGGGTGGAGCGCCGAGGGGTGCGGTGAAGTGGGGAGTAGTCCTTGGGAGTGGGAAGCAGCGCCAGGGCGTGCGGTGGAGTGGGGAGACGTGCCGAGGAGCGCGCCATGCATGCAGACCTGTATCCATGTGCAGTTTTCGGGTACTTCGCCTCCGGGTTCCTGTGCAAGGCGTTCCTTTGCATGCACACCGCCTTCGGCACCGCCTGATTCCGGGGCTTTGCCCTCTCTTGGCCTTGACGTGAGGCCCCTCCTTCTGCCTTCCCCCCTCTGTCAATCTAAGCTGTGCGCGGCCCGCTTAGCTTCGACCGGAAGAGGCTCGCCCTCGACCCGCGGATCCAAACATGTATCCATGTACACACGCGCCAAACGATGGCCTCCCCAATGTGGATGGATCGCGGGGGAATATTCACACGTTCCAGAGACGAGACACGACGGGATAGACACGGAGAGTTACAAACTTATGAAGCAGATACACGAGTCGACACTAACACGTAAACACGCTTCATGTTAGATACGGATAGACACGGAGTAGGCACGGACCCGTGAGGATGTCTCAAGCCGTTGGTCCAGTTACTACGCAAATAGGCACGAAAACCTTAAAACTATCATCGCTATAGAAGCTCAAAAATTGCGTGGGACATCACGACAACCCCGAGCCTAATGTCTATATATTTGGGGCGTCTTGTAGGCCAGGGAACAAGACCCAGGACGAGAAGCCGGCCCCGGGGAAGCGGTCCCGACCTCCGCGGCCCACGCATCGAAAAAGTTGGAGCAGCCGGATGTCTTCGAGTGGGGGACTGGTCCTAAATTCTTCTCCTCCTCCTCCTCCTCCTCCTCCTCCTCCTCCTCCCCTGGAAGCCCGCGCATCGAAAACGTTGGAGCAGCCGGATGCCGGATGTCTGGGTCCGTAGATCTGAGGAGTTTTCGGCTTGTGGCTCGTCGGCTATGTGGAAAAGTCAAGGTTGGGGTACATCAATTCTGTAGCCGATCCCCCTACTCTCGAAGTCGATCGACGACAGGCAAGAGGGAGTGTGACCTTTGGTGCGGGCCCACTGGGGTCCTCCGAGCGCCGAGCGCGATGCGACAGCGTCGGCTTGCGCGCTTGGGTTTCGCCACTCCGCGCCGCCAGTCGAGTCGCGCACTAACAGGTCACTCTGGCCCAACGTCACTCTTGCGTGAAGCCGAGCCTAGGCCTCCCAGACAGGGCCCAGAGGTTCGAGTTTCGGGCTTCGTTGAGCGTTTTCGTTGCTTCTCGGCGGCTTCCAGCCCCGGGATGTGCTCCGGCGGCTGCGCCTCGCCGGGGGCATTCCGGGGGTGCCCGGATCGTCCCGAGCGGCCGCCAGAGGCCCGAGCTATGGCCCGACCCGAACCGAGGACATGGAGTCGGAGGACTGCGCCGCATCGCCGATGCATCGACGATGCGGCTCGATGTGTAGCCCGATGTTCCTGACGCGGACGTCGCCGGTGCGTCGCCGGCGTCGCCGATGCGTCGCCGATGCCTTGGCGATGCGGCGCCATCCTCCGACCCCATCAGCTCGGACCCCGTCCCGTCTAGGAGGCCTCCATCCAACCCAGACCCCCTCGGCTCATGATCCCGTCAGAGAACGGCTTGGGATGCCAAGCCGGTCCCTGGGGCTGGGTCAAGATCTCTGGAGGCCCGCGCCACAAGACAGCTCTGACGTCGGGGGTTTGGAGAACGGTGTGGCGATCACTCTGCGTGCTGAGCCCGTGAGTGGTGGTGCTCATCGTCCGTCTCCTGCCCCGCCCTGCCCGAGCCCAGGTGCCGCGCGCCCCGTCTGTCGCTCCCCTCCTCTCTGCTCTCCTCCGTGGGCCTCCGCGCGCTCTGCCGTCGCGTCTTCGCTCGCTCCTGCGGGCTCCCTTGCCTCGGGGTGCGGCTCCAGCGGCTGGGCCTCGCCGAGAGCGTTCCCCGGGGTGCCTGGACCGTCCCGAGGGTCGTGGGCGTCCCGAGCGCCATGGCCCAGAGACCAAACGTTCGGAGGAGGGCTGGTGTGGTGCGCCAGGAGGGACTCGGGGTCACCGCGCGTTTTTGGGGGCTGCCTCCTCCTCCTCCTCCTCCTCCTCCCGCTCCCTTTCCCTCCTCCCCCCTCCTCCTCTCCTCCCTCCTCCCCTCCTCCCGCCCTCCGCCTCCTCCTCCTCCTCCCTCCTCCCTCACGCCTCCTCCTCCTCCTCCTCCTCCTCCTCCTCGCGCGTTTTTGGGGACTCGGGTCGTCCTCCGAGGACCGAGGACGCTTCGGGCGACTGGGGCCTCCGAGGTCCCAGGGCAGTGCGGCGACGGACCCGGACCGCGCGGTGAGGTCTCCTGGGATTTCGAAGCCACCGCGCGGTCCGCCACCCAACTGTTGTGAGACCCCCGACCTTTTGCGGCCAGGGCGGGGCCGGGTAATTAGACCTCGTTAGGTTCCGCCTCCTCCTCCTCCTCCGCCTCCTCCTCCTCCTCCTCCTCCTCCTCCTCCTCCTCCTCCTCCTCCTCCCTCTCCCGCTCCCCCTCCTCCTCCTCAAGGCACACGTCGACAGCCACGTCGACGACTCCTTGAGCGAGCTGCTGGGGTGAGGGCGCCCCGCTGGAGACCCTGGCGTCGCACGTTTTTGTTTCCGCACCGGGCGGCGTTGCCCGGGACCCTCACGGATCGATTCGGCTCGAAATAGGCCGCAGAATGATCGTGCCTAGGGCTTGCACGCCGACTCCCCTCTTCCTCCTCCTCCTCCTCCTCCTCACTCCTCCTCCTCCTCCAACCCCCCCTCACCCCCTCCTCCTCCTCCTCCTCATCCTCCTCCGCTCCTCCTCTTCATCCTCCTCCTCCTCCTCCTCCTCCTCCGCCTCTAACCTCCTCCTCCTCCTCCAACCCCCCCTCCCCCTCCTCCTCCGCCTCCTCCTCCTCCTCCACCTCCTCCTCCTCCTCCTCCGCTCATCCTCCTCCTCCTCCTCCTCCTCCGCCTCCTCCTCCTCTCCCTCCTCCTCCTCCTCCCTCGCCGACGACTCATTGAGCGAGGTGCTAGGGTGATCCTAGGCCTCCCAGAGGGGGTCCGAGTAGATGGGGTCAGAGGATCGACGCGCATAGCCGATGCATCGGCGACGAAGCTCGATGTGGAGCCCGATTTCGCCACGCCGTCGTCGCCGCTGCATCGCCGACGTCGCCGATGCATCTTCGATGCATCGGCGATGCATCGGCGATACATCGGCGATCCGGTGCAATCCTCCGATCCCATCTACTCGGACCCCATCTAGGAGGCCTCTAGTGATAGCGCCAGTCGGGCCAGATCAAATTTTGTCTTGGTTTCGGATCCGCCGTGCTTGGGTTGACTTTTTGCCTTTCTAAGAAATGTGTCGGACATGCACCCTAGACGATGCGAACAAGTAAGGCGGACAGTGCCGGTTCAGAGGAGTAGGGCGAATATCCCCGCAACTGTACATATGATGGCGGAAACAGTGACGGCAAAGCAGGGCAGAAATCGGCGTCAAAGGCGCTTGAAAAGTAGGGCGGGAACTTCCGCCCTGCTTGCGAAATCGCCCCAGGTACTGCGGATCCGTTGTCGGGGCTGAGTTCCGCGCATTTCTTCACACCAGGCGATTTCGCCCAGTTTCGGGCCCCGGGAACCTCACGGATCGATCGGTTGGAAAAATGCTGCAGAGTCATGGATCTTGAGCTGAGTTCTGCTGATGCTGCAATTTGTCGCAACGTCAGATCTCAGGGGACCAAAGGGGGGGGGATTCTGCAAGGGGGGGTGCGAGCATCGCTACGTGCCGCTGGTTTCGGCCCCCTTGCCAGGCGCCCTGGTCCCTCTTCTGGGACCAGGGCGGGGCCCGAGGGCCCGCCAACGCCTCCTCGATCTAAGGGGGCTGCTAGGGTGAGAGCTGCTCGGTCGCGTGAGGGGGGGCGGGGCGAACGGGTTCGATGCTTGAGGACTCCGGATGTACTTCCCCAATCAGAGCTTGCCTCTGTAGGGGTCCTAGCGGATTCATATGGTTAGGTGAGGTTTGTCACCGATTTCCGCGGCCCGCCCGGGTGCCCAGGTGCCCAGGTGCCTCATAGCCCTACATATCGCCCCATAGCCCATAGCCTTATAGCCCTATAGCCCCAAAGCCCTATAGCCCTATAGCCCGATGCCCCTATAGCCCTATCGCCCTATAGCCTTATAGCCTTATAGCCATACATCCTTATCGCCTTAGAGCCCTATAGCTCTATAGCTCTGTAGCCCTATAGCCCTATAGCCCTATAGCCCAATAGCCCCATAGCCCCATAGGCAGATTGCCCTATAGCCCAATAGCCCTATAACCCTATGGCCCTATATCCCTATAGCCCTGTAGCCCTGTAGCCTTATAGCTTTATAGTCATTTAGCCATTTCAACCTGTAGCCCTATAGCCCTATAGCTCTATACGCCTATAGACCTATAGCCCTACAGCCCCATAGCCCCATAGTCCAACAGCCCTATAGCCCAATAGCCCTACATCCCCATAACCCTATAGACTCATAGCCCTATCGCCCTATCGCCCTATGGCCCCAGAGCCCCAGAGCCCATAGCCCCAAAGCCCTATAGCCCTAAGGCCCTATACCCCTATAGCCCTAAATCCGTGTAGCCCTATAGACCTATAGCCCTATGGCCCTATAAGCCCCATAGCCCTATAGCCCTATAGCCCAATAGCCATATAGCCCTGTAGCCCTAAAACGACTTTGATTGGGACTTTTCTCCGGTATTATTGTTAGTTCCCAGCGGTTTTCCAGTCTCGAGATACTCTCAGGGAACTGCGCCTCGCCGAGAGCGTTCCGAGGGTGCCCGACTCGTCCGGAACGGCCGCTGGCGTCCCGAGCTCCGACCGAAGACTAGACGACGTACGACGGAGATCACTCGGCTGGACGAAGCGTGGGCATCGGGAGGAGGAGGAGGAGGAGGAGGAGGAGGAGGAGGAGGAGGAGGAGGATGCGGGAGAGGAGGATGAGGAAGGACGGAGGAGTGAGGCTGAGGAGGAGGAGGAGGAGGAGGAGGCGGCGGCGGAGGAGGCGGAGGGAGAGAGGGGGAGGATGACGGAGGAGAGAGCGGAGGATGAGGAAGGAGGAGAGGAGGAGGCGGAGGAGGAGAGGAGGTGGGACGAAAGCTAGTGCATGCAGTTTGTTTCGGCTCCTCCCCTTGCTCTTCCCTTCCAGTCCTCCTTCGGCCCTCCCGCACGAGGCCGCACATCTCACCTGTTGGACTTCCTCCTCCTCCACCTCCTCCTCTTCCTCCGCCTCCTCCTCGCTCCTCTCGCTCCTCCCACCTCCTCCTCCTCCTCCTCCTCCTCCCCTTTCCTCCTCCCCTCCTCCTCCTCCTCAGCCTCCTCCTCCTCCTCCTCCTCCTCCTCCTCCTCCTCCTCCGTCCTCCTCCTCCTCCTCCTCCCCCTCTGCTCCCTCCCCCATCCCTCCTCCTCCTCCTCCTCCTCCTCCTCCTCTCTCCACCTCCTCCTCCTCCTCCTCCTCCTCCTCCTCCTTCTCTCCGTCCTCGCTCTCCTCCTCCTCCTCCTCCTCGTCCTCTTCCATAGGAGGAGGAGGAAGAGGAGGAGCAGGAGCAGGAGCAGGAGCAAGAGGAAGAGGAGGAGGAGCAGGAGGAGGAGGAGGAGGAGGTCGAAGAAGAAACCACTGCACAGCCAGAAGCTGTCGTTGGTCCGCGCGGATTTTGGGGGGGTCAGCCCTGGGCCCGCCCAGGCAGCGCCTCCGACGCCGCCCCTGGCGCGCCCTGCGCGCCAGAAAGGGAGAATCCAGCGCCGATCCAAAAGGAGGAGGAGGAGGAGGAGGAGGAGGAGGAGGAGGAGGAGGAGGAGGAGGGGGGCCTCCAAGACGACCCAAGCAAGAGGCCTCCGAAAGTTTCTGCTTATGTCGTGTTTCTTCTTCTGGATGGGGGTGGATGAGGAGGAGTCGATAGATGAGAGGGCGGTCGCGAAGGGCGGAAGGGCATGCTCAGCAGCTCCCGTCTTCCGGCCTTTCTTGACCGTGTCTTGCTCTGCCGCCTTCCCTCCAAGGGCGAAGCACTGTGCCGTCGTGAACCGGCAGCGCGCAGTGCTCACGCGGACTTGCCGCGCACGTGCTGCACCCATGGAGTTGTGCAAATCGAGTCATTCGAGCATGAGTTGCTCCTCGCGATTGCGGGTGCTGTGGTGTGCAGCGACGTGTGAAAGACAACCGAGTTGGTCGCCGACAGAAAAGGTCCAGCAGACTCTGTCAGGTGCTTGCCCGTTCCGTGCAGTGCAAGATCGCGTTTTCCATCGTGTGTCGCAGTACGTAGGCATCTCGGAAGCGGCGCTCTCTTCGAGCGTCTCGCCGGATGCAGACATGAGGCCGAGTCGCGATCACGCTTTGATGATTGCCGCCCTCGGGATGAGTTTTTTTTTCTGTTGCACCGCCCGGGTAGGGACCTCTGCGGTGCGGCGGACGAAGGCGGGTAGCTTTCTCGTGCCGCTTTTGACCACAGTATGCTGCGAGCTTGTCCATTAGGGTTCTCCAGTTGTGCAGTTTTTCCTTCCGCGTCCATAGACCGGCACTGGTCGCCGAGCGAGTCTGCTGCCATCAGGCGCTAAACAGTACCACATTGCCTCCCTCTCCCCGTCACTGCTCAGAAAAAGGCGAGCGTCGCGAGTGTCCACGGCGCCGCTCTCAGACATCGGGCGTCTCGAGACGCGGGCCACCAACCTCTCGATCCCATACCGAGACCGGTTTTCCATCCCGCGTCGCTTGTGGACGGCCTCGCCCAGGCCCGGTAAGGGCCCCGAAAGGCCGAAAACGATGCAGCGCCTCTGTCTCGATTTTGCTCGACACGCCTGGTTTGATGTCTGTTCATGGGAGCTTGGGTCAGCGGCACTGGAATCAGCTTTTCCAGCACTCAGACCACATTTTGACTGCAGTTTGCTCCTCCCCCTGCTCCTCCCCTCCCCTCCTGTTCCTGCTTCCTCTCCTCATGGTTTTTGTCCCCCTTGGAAAGGGGCGAATCCTGTCTAAATCTGGTCCCAAATGTGTTCCAAATCTGGTCCAGATCAGGCCCAAACCTTGCGGAAGTAGATTGATGGAGAGGAAGCATGCTGCCAAATAATTTCCAGATGTCTAAAGGATGTTTCAAACATGCTTTTAAATATGTTAAACACATGTTTGAAACATTCTTATAACATGTTTCATACATTTTAATTACATCTTTAATTCAATGATAGGATTGTTAGAGTGTCCATTGTCATGGCATCCACAGCCCAAGCCAGACAGCTCCAGGAGCCACGCAGGCTCCCATGGAACAGACACCGAAGCCGGGTGTATGGGCCGGCCGGGCGGGGGTCACGCTTGTCTTCGAAGGCTTGGGGGGGCTGGCCAGGCCGCAGACGGACCCCGTTCTCGGCCTCCGCGTGCACGGTGCCCCCAGACCGTCACAGAACGACCCAGGATGACAAACCTGTCCCAGGGCAGGGGTCCACCTCCTCCTCCTCCTCCTCCTCCTCCTCCTCCGCCTCCTCCTCTCCTCCTCCTCCTCCTCCTCCTCCTCCTCCTCCTCCTCCGCCTCCTCGTCCGCCTCTTCCTCCTCCTGCTTCTCCTCCTCCTCCACCTCCTCCTCCTCCTCGTCCCCCTCCTCGTTCCGCTCCTCGTCGCCCTCCTCGTCCTCCTCCTCCTCCTCCTCCTCCTCCTCATCCACCACCTTATTCTCCTCCTCCTGATTCTCCTCCTCCTCCTCCTCTTCACGGATTGAGGGCGGGTGGTTTTCAAGATGTGGCTCTCGCCTTAGCGCCGCGCACATTCGTTTTGAATAGTTGCAAGAGTTTCACGGATCGAGGGCGGGTGGTTTTCAAGATTTGGTTCTCGCCTCAGCGCCGCGCACATTCGTGTTAAACATTTGCAAGAGTTTCATGGATTGAGGGCGGGTGGTGTTCAAGATGTGGCTCTCGCCTTCGCGCCGCGCACATTCATTCTAGACAGGTGCAAGAGTTTCATGGATTGAGGGCGGGTGGTTTTCACGATGTGGCTCTCGCCTTTAGCGCCGCGCACATTCGTTTTGAATAGTTGCAAGAGTTTCACGGATCGAGGGCGGTTCTGTTTCAAGATGTGGTTCTCGCCTCAGCGCCGCACACATTCGTTTTAAACATTTGCAAGGGCGTCACGGATTTCCATGAGCAACTTGCCAGACATGGTGTTTTGGAAGTATTCAGGGTTACGCGGGTGCAACAGTTATGTTGATTCGTGGTGCTGAAGTCCAAAAAATGACGTTCTAGCGCGATTCCAGATCGTCAGGACACAGCTGTCAGGTTGATCCGTGGCGTGGAAATGCCGAGAACAATGTTTTGGCATGCTTCAAGGTCTTCAAACGGTTGTCTTCCAACGAGGCAGTTCCCTCAATGGAAATGAGCCGTTGTAGGGGCCTATGAAGAGGGAGCTTGGAAGGAGGGTTAATTACAACATCGTTGATGACTCTTGGGTTTACACTGGTCCTCCTCCTCCTCCGCCGCCTCCTCCCCTTCCTCGTCCTCCTCGTCCTCTTCATCCTTCTCCTCCTCCTTCTCTCCCTCCTCCTCCTCCTCCTGCTCCTCCTCCTCCTCCTCCTCGTCCTCCTCCTCCTCCACCTCCTCCTCCTCTTCCTGTCCTCCTCGTCCTCCTCCTCGTCCGCCCTCCTCCTCCGCCTCCTCCTCCTCCTCCTCCTCCTCCTCCTCCTCCTCCCCTCCTCCTCCTCTTCCTCCTCCCTCACCACCACCTCCCCTTCCTCGTCCTCCTCGTCCTCTTCATCCTTCTCCTCCTCCTTCTGCTCCTCCTCCTGCTCCTCCTCTGCACCGCCCCGCGCGCGCGGGCGCGGAACGACGAGGCTCGAGACTGCAACCTGCAAGACTCGTCAAGGATAAACGGACGGTTTTTGTTTTCGACGCTCTTGCGCGGTCGGCGCTGCTTCCATGTTGGCATGAGGTGCATGGCCCGCACGCAGGGGTGTCCGAAATCTGGCAGTTCCCTCACGGCGTTGAGGAACGCGTCGTTTTGCCAAGCGCCCTATTTTGAACGGCGTGTCAGTTCATTTCTGACGAAACATGCAGAAGACGGGCTCACGTTGATCGCCCAGGCCTCTTGCCAGGAGGGGGACGCGCTGAACGTGTCTCCGAAGGCATCACAGCCTGCCTGCAATCATCTTCTCCGAACAACCCTCCGCCGCGGCATCCAGCACGCCCAGGGTCCCTGACAAATGAGGTCAAATTCTGGATGCCCTGCTGTGTGCGCCCGTGGGCAACCTCAATTCCACTTTCCCATTTTTCTCCCTATCCAGACGTCCGTCGTCGCGCACATCCCGAGCTTGGAAACGAAGACCACTGGCCTGTTTCGCCTCCGCCCACGCCCCTGTGATATTCACTTCTTGGGAATGAATGCATGTCCGCGCAATGTCTACCCAATCGACGTGTCTGAGCCTCTACACGAAGCAGCGTGTGTCCAGTCTGTACGCCCTCCCAGTGGAATATTCATCAAAACGAGCTTGCCAGGCATCATTAAATCAGACCGCTCGCAATGGACATTCAACCAATGGCAGTCGCGACTCCACCAGCAGGAGAAGCTCCAAGTGTAGGCGCTGGCGGTGGTGCTTGCGTAGGTACAGGGGTTGGTGCTTGCGTCGGTGCTGGTTCAGGCGCTGGCGCCGGCGCTGGCGTGGGCGCTGGCGTTTGTGCCAGCGTTGGTGTTGGCGTCGGCGCTGGCGTCATAAGCGCTGGCGTTGGTCCCGTCGTCGGCGCTGTAGGCGCCGGCATCGGCGCAGGCGCCGGCATCGGCGCTGGCGCGGTTCCGTCGTCAAAATTGGCGTTGGTGCTGGCGTCGTCGGCTCGCCGCCGCCGCATGCGCAACACGCGTCGTTGGCGGTCCCGTTGAAGGCGCCGTACCCATAATGGTCGCCATAAATGCTGCAAACGCTGATGTCGTTGGCATACCAGACGCGAGTGCTTCGCGCGATGCTACTAAAAGTCAGTCCGTGCCGTCCGGCAAGAGATACGTGCCGTCCAGCACAAGACCTTGGCAACGTTTTGTCGTGTAGGCGACCATGGCACCTGGATCCGCTTGCCTCCCTGATCTGATCTGCTTGCCTCCAGTGTCCTGCCTCCTCCTCCTCCTCCCTCCTCCTCCCTTCTCCTCCCTTCTCCCGCCTTCTCTCTTCTCCTCTACTCTCCTCGCCTCGCCTCGCCTCGCCTCGCCTCTCCTCTCCTCCCCTGGGCAGCGAGGGCTGCAGAGAAGGGGCCCTTTGGGGCCCCTCGAGGTGCCCTCCAAGGCCCCAGAGGGGCCCTCTTAGGGCCCGGAGAGCGCACCTTCCACAAAAACTACCTCCCCCCCTCCTTTCTCCTCCTTCCTCCTCCTCCTCCTCCTCCTCCTCCTCCCTCCCCTTGCTTCTGCCTCCTCCGCTACTCCTCCTCCTCCCCCCTCCTCCTCCTCCTCCTCCGGCTCCGCTCCCTCCCCTTGGCCCCTCATCCTCCTCCCCTCCTCCTCTCCTCCTCCGCCTCCGCCTCCTCCTCGCTCCTTCTCCTCCTCCTCCTCCTCCTCCACCGCTCCCCTCCTCTTGCCCGCCCCACCTCCTCCTCCTCCCGCCTCCTGCTCCCCTCCCCTTGCGCCTCCTCCTCCTCCTCCTCCTCCTTCTCCTCCTCCTCCTCCTCCTCCTCCGCGGCTCGACCACCGACGGTTTGTGCAACCTGAGTCGAGCTGCGCGCTGCTCGGGCCAAGAGTGATTGTCAGGGAGCCTGGACTCCCGAGATGGTCCCGCCAGTGCCCGTGCACCGGCGGAAGTGGTTCTGCAAGACGTGCAAGCACGAGAAGTCGGGGAAACAGTTCCTCAACTTTGCGGAGAACACGCAGTGCCACATGTGCAAGCGCTCGAAGAGCGCCTGCTTCGGGGGCTATATCCAGGCCAAGGAGCCCTCTGTTTCGTCAGGGCGCAAGGGGGCGGCGAGTGGCGAGCCAGCCCCGTGGGTCAAGGCCTCGGAGGTCGCCAAGCTGGCCGAGCAGGTCAAGCAGCTCGAGGCCAAGCTGGCCAATGCGGGATCGGCATCACACGCGCCCCTGCCAGAGGTCTGGGATGTGGACCTTGGGTGCGAAGCCGTGCCCGACAAGGACCGCCTGGCCACCGTCGAGCGTGAGCTATCCACCATCGCAGGCCTTGTTGGCGAGAGGTGGTCCAAGCTCCGTGAAGACCTCAAGCAGGAGAAGCAGCGGCTTGAGCAGAAAATGCTTGCCGAGCAGCCCTATTGTAAGCGGCTGCGGGCACTCCTGGGCCGAGTGGACGAGGCGGAGCAGAAGCTGCTCAAGTCCAAGAAGCAGCAGGAAGCCAGCCGCAAGCGACTCGCGGAGGCAGAATCGGCGCTCCGCGATGCCGACAAGCGGGTCCAGGAGCAGGAGGCTGAGCTGGGTCTGCTCAAGGCGCAGCAGATGGAGCTGGCATCGCAGGGCATGGCTCAGGGGGTCCAGCTCGAGCCCGGCACGGCGGCAGCCGTCTCGGCTCCCATGCTCCAGTTGGACGCGTCCAAGGTCAAGGGCTTCCTCGAGCAGGGCCTCGACCAGCTTGGCGTGCACGTGCCCGACCTTTCGGCGTTTGCGCAGGCCTTCTGCGAGCAGGTGCCAAGTTGCACCTCGCAG